TCCACGTACCAGACGCAATAAGCATTACTTCTCTTTCTGTCTAACCATGTTTTATATTTCTATCCTTCTCTTATGCCATGTGAAGTAGTGATTGGCGGCTACGTTAAAATTATCATCAATAGCATGAATGAACTTTCTCGATCACTAAACGACAATATGATTTTTACTATATAACTATAATACTCGTTCAAAAATACTTAATACGGAATGACTGAGTTTCAAAACGGCAAAAATATTCGTTTAAAGTATTATCACTAAGCTACAAATGAGGAATATTTAATGTTTACTAGCGATTTTCATATTTTCCCGCAATCTGAATCATTAATTTCATGAAGTGTGTTCAATTTCTATTCGCTAACGTCCACCAATAGCAGCTTTCCATCTGTCTGTCGTAATTTTACGTAAAACGTCACTTAGCCGCCATTGTTTATCCTTTTCACACACATACAAACTCGCCGTCTCAAAAACTCTGTCTATTTCACTTCCTCATTTTCCTACACATATACGTTTTATACCTTTCTCTTTCACACGTCAACTAATTTCTTTGGTCTGAGCAAGATAAAAGATTACTAAAGCTTAGTAACCGGTCGAAGTAATATTAGAGAATTTGCCAATTTTTGAAGTTATTCGTGGCCAGTCCTTTGCGCGCTAAGGTGGTTGTGTGAATCAAAAATGAAGTCTTTAGTGCTAGCCGTTGTCAGTTTACTGGCAATTTCATCAATAAACTGTGAAGTGTTCTTCGAGGAAAAATTCCCCGATGGTAAGCATCTGTATTTTATTCAAAAATGTAATTTCTGAAGCGTGCCGGCTTGCCGCGTGTGCCATCGATCGATTCCATCTCTTTAGGTAGCCGGTTTATTTTCGGGAGTATTATGTTAAAATTGTACGTATCTTTATTTCAGACACATGGGAATCCAACTGGGTGTACAGTGAGCATCCCGGCAAAGAATTCGGCAAGTTTAAGCTGACTGCTGGAAAGTTCTACAATGACCCGGAGGAAGATAAAGGTAGGTGGCAAACGATCCCCTTCTAATGATGCTACATCATTTACAAATTGAGCGTCTTATCCTGTAGTTAACAATAACTCGTATCTGTGTCAAATCCACTCAAGTGACATGTCTACATGTTGTAATCTATTGTCTACTAAATTACCCAATACTAGAACAGGCAGGGGCACTGAACTTACAGTGCTCAAAAGCCGGAGGTCGTAATTGTGTCTGTACATATTCTAATAAGATTGTTTCCTATCCTACATAGGTCTGCAGACATCTGAGGACGCCAGGTTCTATGCTCTGTCTCGCAAGTTCAAGCCATTCAGCAATGAAGGCAAACCCCTAGTGGTACAGTTCTCAGTGAAACATGAGCAGGACATTGACTGCGGAGGTGGCTACCTCAAGGTGTTCGACTGCAAGCTGGAGCAGACTGACATGCATGGCGAGACTCCCTATGAAATTATGTTTGGCCCTGACATCTGTGGTCCCGGTACCAAAAAGGTAAGACACTTTATCATAATCAATAAAAACTCTTTAAATATTTATTAATCTCTTTAAAACATAATAAGAAAATGTTAGTTCTTCACAAACTAATGGAAAAACTACAGGTATTCTTTGAAATAAAGTCTAATCCCAAAGTATTTAAATTAACTTTTCAGTTGTAACAAGAAAAAGCTACAAATATCTGTTAGGTAATAATTCAATATGCAAAATTAAAGGTGGCCCACTAAACTTGAATGACCAGTCTCATAGAACAGTTAATTCAATTTTAATAATAATAATATGACATAACTACAACTACACTCATTATGAATTCAACTTACATTCACAAGTTAACAGTAACTTCGCTTTGAAGTTTGGGAACGAAATAGTATTGTAACAACCAAATTGTTTTGAGAAATGGCTTAGCCTTTAGGATATTACAAAATAAAGATATTGTTTGATAACTAGTACTATAACTTTTATCTAGGAACATTAAACTATAGAGATAAATTTGGTCTTATCAGTTTATCAATATAATTGTTTCACTTTCACTTTTTCTATGAAGTAGACCTAAATAACTAGAACAAGTTATAATCTTTCTAATAAGTATCTATTAGATTTTTATAACATGAACAAAATTTTTTTTTTTATAAGTATTTGAATAAAAGTTAAATAATGTTTAATGTTTTTGCAAGAGCAAAAGAGTTTGATGGCAAAACAAAACATTCATCTCAAACTTTATTTTCTAGAACATTTACAAGATTGTTGTTATAATAGTCACAAAAATTTTAAACAGTAGTTGGGTTAAATAGGTAACTCACTATAATAGGAGAGCATTTAATAATAGTGTTAGAAGACAGGCTGTATGTATTAGCTAAGTACAATTTAATACTTAATTTACCTTGATTTCAATCCACAAGCTTAGTGTGCATCAGACAGTATTTAAGTAGCGACTTACTAAACATTCATCTAATATATCTTTAGGAATAACAAAAACAGTTTTGGTATGGTCATCATCAGTTAACTGATAATAATCTGTTATTATTGATTTTCCTTCATTATGTCAAATCTATTTGTGTGTATCAAGGAAACATTACATATTATAAACTACTGACTAATCTTAAACATTATTTCTGTGTTAAAATTAATGATAAGTTTTTCTTCACATAGAAATCATGTAAAATAATTAAATAAATAATCATGTTGAATATCTTTCATAAATGCTAATCTGTATTAAAATGGTAATTAGAATAATTATGCCTGTGTCCTTGGTGATATTAATTTAATGTATTGGTTGATTATGAAAATATGCTATTAGCAATATTATAAGCTGTACCTACCATGACTTGATGACAGCTTAACAAACATTGTGGATTTGTGATAGCTAACTAGGTCCACAGATACCTGTAATGTATTAAAAATGTAACAGTCCAGTGATAGTAGATTAGTACCTATCACCCAAGGTATATATCAAATTGTTCAAACTTGTTTTTTCCTTAGCTATGGATATTTAATATAATACTGCATCAATTTTGCTGTTAAAACGCGTCAAGTAGTTAAAAGAACGAATGTTTTACAATCAAAATAAAAACTTTAGGTTTGCATTATGTAAACTTCTGCCGTAAAAAGTTATCGCTACGTGTGCTAGGTAGTTGCTCATAAAAAAAAACATTCCAATATTTTTTCAACATGACTTATTGATCAGTCATTAAAAATTCAAAGCGGCCTCGGATTGGAGACACTTGACGCTTGCTTTCAGCATGCACTAAGCATTATTGATTGATAAGAAAGGTAGCCTTTATGTCCTTCTGCCTTTATAATTAAACATGCGTATGTTCGTTGTCTCCTCACCTTGCATAGTCCCCAATAAGCTGGTTTTATAACAATTAATCAATGAACCATTCAATACCTACCTCGGATGTTGCATAACACCGGTTTCTAACCGGCGATTTCGCCTAGACAATTAAGAAGTAACATTAATCGATACCTTATTTACTAATTATACTATATTGAAGCGTTTTAAATCGTAAATAAACGGGATATTAATGTGATTTCCGATATTTCAAAATAATAATTTAATCAAATGAGCATGAATGTTAGGGTCACTGACCGAAGTCCAGTAGGTATTTACAATTTAGCTTGTCTAAGACTAGTATAATAAATAAAATATGCTAATACAATTATCGCCTTAGCAAAAGTTCGATGGAACTGCAAGGTTCGTCGACCTCGAACACGTTTGACAAAATTATTAGTACTTTTCATACCACATGTTAGAACTTTTTCAGGTTCAAATTATTTGATTTCTAAGTTATTTTTTTAGCTGTTATCACGGTTAGTAATGTTCTTTATTTCTTCCTCAGGTCCATGTTATCTTCAGCTACAAGGGCAAGAACCACTTGATCAAGAAAGACATCCGTTGCAAGGACGATGTTTACACTCACTTGTACACCCTGATTGTGAAACCAGACAACACCTACGAGGTGCTCATCGACAATGAGAAGGTCGAATCTGGAGACCTGGAAGCTGACTGGGACTTCCTGCCACCCAAGAAGATCAAGGTAATTTTGGAAATACAAAATTAACTGTTTTTACTAGGTTTCCGATCAAATTTCATTATCCATTTGTGAAAACACCTTAACTGTTTTCGAGTTTACCGCGATTAGGCAAACAGGATCTTAAACAACAGGGTTTATTAACTTTCCTTTCTCTTTCAAAGGACCCCGAAGCCAAGAAGCCTGAAGACTGGGACGACAGGCCCACCATCCCTGACCCTGAGGACAAGAAACCCGAAGACTGGGACAAACCTGAGCACATTCCCGACCCTGATGCCACCAAGCCCGAGGACTGGGATGATGAGATGGACGGTGAATGGGAGCCTCCTATGATCGACAACCCTGACTACAAGGGAGTTTGGGCACCTAAGCAGGTAATTGAGCTCTTGAAAATATAGTTTCTTGCTGAGAATCGTTTAGAAATCCTCTATAGTCCATAAGGTCATGTTAGTAGAAATACAAGTTGTTGTTACAAAACCTAAATTTGGAGCAGTGACACCAAACTGTCTATAAAAAGATTAAAAAGAAAAGTTGCTCTAACGCCTGCCGCCTGCTTATGCCGTTTTGACGACAAAAAACTCGACACGCTCTTCTTTTCACATAAAATAACTATTCAATTCAATTTCTAATATTCTCCCTTTCTACACAATTTTTATGAAAACTGCATTGTATTCATGTTAATTGAGTTGCACCGTGTCTGAATCTATTTGTGAAACTGAAGAAAGTAAGATCGTGTCAGTGTGTGTGACGTCACATTACTCGTCTAGCGTAGCTGTTTGCATAACGTTCACACCGTATATTGACCCGGCTTACCGTTACAATGTGAAAATTAACGTCTCATTTATAGAGTCGACGCGCGGTAATTATTCAGCCGTAAATAATATATGACTTGAAAAAAAAACGCATTCGGCCATTTAATGTGGCTTTTCGATGGTTCAAATTTTAAATGATTTAAATAAATCTGTTCTGTGTAGCAATAGTTCAAAATATTACGTCTTATTTCATGTTCTAATGTACAATCTTCATTCACAGATCGACAACCCCGCTTACAAGGGACCGTGGGTACACCCTGAGATCGACAACCCTGAATACACTCCTGACGCAAACCTTTACAAGCGCGACGAACTTTGCGCAGTCGGTCTCGACTTATGGCAGGTCAAGTCTGGTACCATCTTCGACAACTTCCTAATCGGTGACAGCATTGAGGAGGCCGCTGAACGTGGCGAAGCCCTTAAGAAGAGGCTAGAGGGTGAGAAGAAGATGAAGAGTGAACAGGATGAGGCTGAGAGGGAGAAGGAGAAGGCTGAGAAGCCTGATGATGAAGATCTGGATGATGAGGATCTTGATGATGAAGCCGGTGATGCCGCGCCAGTGGTGAGTTCATTATTTTATGTCAGCTAATATATCTTGATAGTCAGAATTTTCACCACCTCGAAGTGTTGGCAATATAGTCGCCTTTTGTTTACTTTGTTGAGGAACTACGTTTTACTTACGCTTAATTTTATTATTGACCTTGCATTCTAATTTGGTTTTGTCTTTGTTACAGGAGGACCACGATGAGCTGTAAACTGTGTCATTGTGTGTGTAAAGACAATACGTATCGTCGGGTACATTCGTGAGCGTGTTGCGCGTGCTGTGCGTGTGCGCATGTTATAGTTGCAAGAACTCGAAGAACCCTTAGTTCGTCATAGTGTGTTCTAGTGTGTTCTGTTCCAGTCCTCTCTTATCTACATGTATGATAAAATAGCTGTAAAATTTTATTCAATTATCATACTTATCTTACAATGCGTGTACTGACTTGAAATATTCCAAGTTGGGGTTTTAATATTTATTTTTAGCAGACCCAACGCAATTTATTTTGTATAAAGTTTGAAATCACGCTCATTTTATTGTATTAATGTTAATACGGCACTATGTGTCGTCGAGTGCAGGGGTTTATTGTACAGTGTTAGTTGCCGTAGCCTAAATTTTTTGTAAGAATTTCGACTAATGTTGTAAAATAAATCTGTGAGTGGAAGTTTCTCATATATGTTGTGAAACGAGTCTGATTAAAATTAATATATTACATTTATTTTTTTTGTTTTATTTTGTTTCGTTGGCCAGGTAATTCGGCAAAGTTTTAACTTATTGCAACCTGAAAGTCACAAAATCCTGATTTGAAGTGCGGTGGGGTGTACTTATCATAAGAAAATATTACATATCATTTTGGCCTTCATGTTAATTTGTTGTTCTAATTAATTTAATTTTAGAAACTTGCATTTTGTACTATGTTACCCTAAAAGTTTTTATACATTAAAAAGACTCCGAAGAGGAGTGAATAGACACTAGAAAAATTGTGTGTCCACATGTCCAATAACCCTTCAAATTCTATTTACCCCGTTTTACGGTGCCTAACATTCAACAAATAATGAATCACTGGTTGTATTATTTTAGCATCTTTATTTATTCTCTTAGAACTAATTGTGAACAATGTTTACTGTTTTAAGTTTTCAAGCTTGAGATTTTTATATAAGCTAACTTGTATATGATTAACTGGAATGTTAATTAAAAATAATAATTAAGGCGACAGGAAGATACCATTGGAGTTTTCTGTAGGATGGCTATTGTCTTGCGCGACATATAAGGGAGGCAAGGTAGGGTACGCCGGTATGAATAGGCTTCTTTTAATAATTTAATAAATAAAAGAGATTAAAACTGTTTATTATTATTTATACACTTAACATGTTGAATAACTTAGCTAATATTTTCCCATAACGTGAAATAATTCTTTTCGCTGGATTTCTAGGCCGGGATGACGGATTCTTAATTTGCGGGCCCCCAAACACTGTTTTAAATAGAAAATATTGTGTCAGTAACAAAAAACACAATTCACAATAAATAAGCTCTAGCCATAAAAGATTTTCCAACTGGCGCTAAATTATGGTCAACTACTGTAATTTTAGTTCATCATGTATTAGATAGATGTCTCTGAATCCAACTTATCTTACAAGTAACCAATGCCATCTATTGTTAGCTTTGCATATTTATTTCAAACAAAAAGGCGACGCTTCAAAATAAATTCACTTACACCAATCGTCGACAACTGTAACATAAAAGGGTAATATAACAATTAAATACACACATATAAAAATATAATTGTAATAATATTAACGTAGGTAGGTACTATAAATTCCTCACATGGTTTTCTCGGATCATGAATAAAATGACAGTACATAAGTACTGAATGACTGACTGACTGACTGACTGAGTAAGAAATGACTTAAAAATAGATGGGTTTCATAAGTAAAGAGGTTGTTGATATACATAAAAGTATATAATATTATACCTACCCAAGGACGACGTTACGAATGGAATGGACAATAGGAGGATACAAGCTAGGGGAAACTTACAAAAGACTCGGTTTGAGTTCACCAATTGTTCGGTTATATTAATATTAATGTAAATCCTGACGAAAACAGACTATTATAGGCATTATTCGGACTCAAAGAAGGTTTGTTTAACTAACAGAGAATTTGGAACACCGGGTCCTTAAATATTTTCTATAAGAACTAGACTATGACTAGAGAAATGTGAGTAAATACCGAATGGTATAAAACCTCTACGGCTAAGGGATGATAAAATAGGGAAAGAATAAAAAAAAAGGTAAAATATTAGAGAGTGAAAAATAGGACGCGTATTTTTTATGTTGTCGTATAAGAAACCAATAATTTTAAATGTAGGAATGCCATGCTGCGGTATCATCGAGCCGGCTTGTTCGGAGTGATACCGGCGTGAAACAACGCTATTGTGATGTGTGTCACCTTGCGAGAGGGATTAATGAAGGTCCAATAACTCATCTTTCCGCTTCTTAATGCCCCGAATCCTCAAATCCTAATGTCTAATCAGGAAAAGGAGGACAACGTACTTGCAACTGTTCTGGTGTTTAGGGTGTTATAGGCGGCGCCATTTGCTTACCGCCAGGTGACATGGTCGCCCTATTACATAAATATTCCTAGTACAACATGATAAACTTACGCTGGTCCCAATCTTTTACTTTTTTCTTCTTCAACCTCGCAAAGTCCTCGATAAGGTCAGGTTTGGCTGTCGTTGTTGGAGGAGCAGCGGTCGTGGGGGGTGTGTGAGTGGGCAAGTGATCCCACATCCAGTTACAGGGCGCTGCTGATACTGTAATTAGGTACATTGTAAATCAGATCATTTCTGCCTCGAAAGTGTAAGGTAGAGAGGGTAGAGGTTAGTTGAAACAAAGTAGCTTACAATAACAACACACATTATACAACACCTATTTTCGCTTGAAATAAATCTCAGTAGCGGGAATCTAAGCTTAAACCTTTTTGGATCTAATAAGTTCAGCTTGCTATATTTCGAATTTCGATCTATGATGAAGTCTAAATGTTTTGCACAAATTTAATTCTTGACGTGGATCTTACTTTCCTTAATTGTTACCTAATTTTGTGCCTGAAACTGTAGAATAATAAAATATCGATCCTCGTTGAGAAATAAATAAATGTATTTTCGACGATGCAGTTAACGGATTAAAACAACAGACATCATTTGTTATGACTTGTTGACGCAACGCGTACCTAGCGACCCTTCCCCAGCAAAGTTTTAAACCGAAAGAAATAATCTGTCAAGAGGTCATGCACACTGAATAAAAATAAGGAAAGGTTTCCGTAAACAATAAATGTTATTTTTAAGAGATTTACTTTGAATTCTCACCTTCATTTTCCTCTTGGGAGATGAGTATCTGAAAAATTAAATTAGATATGTTTAAGACTTTAGTGTTAGATATTAAAAAATGCAGCTTTTCTTTCTTTCTTTAGCCTCTGCAACTGCTTAGTATAAAACGTAGTCGCTTTGTCTACAGGGACCTAGGACCTATACATTATACATCCCTATTCCTTTATTAGGTAATCTTTAAAATAGAGTGATTGAAGGACAAGGTTTATGCGCATAATATCATCCATAACCTAAACAGACAAACAACAGACAACAAATAAAATTGTGGATCGGACCTGCATCTTGTTGAATCAACCATCTTTAATTGCTTTTGACATAAAATTAACAAAGCCACTTCCCCTATTCAGGCTATAGGTACATGATTATGCTCTTTGAGCACTGTCCAGCTAAACAGACATGTGACAATTTCATAGAAGTGAGTGACAAACAAATATTTTAATAGCACATAATTAACTTTAATGTTAATTGTGCCAATAATAATAGTCACTAATTATGATTACAATTCATCATTTTACAAAAAGTCAAACTAAATCTCAAAAGTAGGTATTTTTAAAATCTCGGAAACGATACTTTTTTAAAGTTAGTATGAAATACATTACCTAAGTATTCTATTATATTTTTTAAGTACCTAATAAGTAGGACGTCAAAACGTGTGGGTATAATGAAGCACATAAGTAAGTAATGAAACCGATCAAGTATTATTGAACATTTGATTGCAATAAATAGTCGATGTAATGTATTTCTTTTTTCCTTACTCGTCTTTTACAAAACTCCCTGGTAAAGCAGAGGTCTGGCGACAAATATATACGATTATCTGTTGTAACCACAATCTAGATAAAATATAGATAAAAAAATACTTACCAAAAAGACCATAGACACGAGAAACTTTAAACAGTACATGTTTTTCTACTTAACGAAGCACATAACAATATCTTTTCATCCGTCCACTTCGTTTATATACCTACTCATATATGTGTAGCATAAAGCCTTAGATACACTTGTTATACGCCTGTTATGTTATATTGTAATACATTATACTTCCTTGTTATATTTATATTATTACGTATTTTTTGGTTAAGAATTTAAGACTAAAACTTGTGTTTTGATTGTCTGTTGCCATGTATAAATAAACAATTTGAATTAAGTGTGGGAGAGCCATGCTTCGGCACGAATGGGTCGGCTCGACCGGAGTGATACCACGGCCTCACAGAAAACCGGCGTGAAATAACCACTGCGTTGTGTTTCGCCGTGTGAGTAAAGTTACCGGAGGCCCAATCCTTCCCCTTCCCCAATCCCTAAATCTCCAAATCCCTAATCCCTAAAAGGTCGGCAACGCACTCGTAACTCCTCCGTTGCGAGTGTCCATGGGCGGCGCTGATTGCTTACCATCAGGTAATCCGTCTGCTCGTTTGCCGACGTATTACATAAAAAAAAAAAATAATTTCGGTAAGTAGTCGATTGTCGAGGTTTTTTCATGAGCTACTATAGTTCATAGTTCTACTATATAGGGCGGGAAACAAGCAAACTGATCAGCAATCGGCGCCACACATGAACGCCACAGTAGGTACTGGGGAGCCAAAACTAGTTCTTTTAGGGATTGGCTATTTAGAGATACAGGATCGGGTAGTTGTTTCTTTTCGAAATAGTTGTATAGGTAAATGATATTATTTGTTTTTTTTTTTACAAATATAGACAAATCTTTGCATTTTGTGTCCTGTAATTACGCAAAGGTCCATATCTTAAAACATTACCTTTAAAAAATTAATGGTGTTAAGTATCAAAAGCTACAAATTACCTACTGTCTTCACGTATTTATCTATGACAGTGTTATAAATAGTTCTCACTTTAACACCTTTCCCATCCTGAAACCCTTAGCTCTATAAAGCAAAAATATTTTTGTAACCAGAAAGTTTATTTTAAGTTTTATAAGGCCCGCATTGTTTTTACAAGCACCCCCTTTACTGAACCATACTTTTTGCCGGTATAAGATTTCTTAATACAATGGGATAAGGTAGAAAATAGTTTGAATGTTCTAAGAAGGGTGTAAGGACTTGCGTCCCTTAGGGCAGGGTGATAACGTTTAGTGTCAACATTTGCCCTGCATCGCTAGATATCCGGTGTCAACTGACATGGCCGACTTTTGTCTATTGGCGGGAAGGAAGAAGAAATTAAATGCTAGTGATTGATCCCCTTTTTTTCTAGAAAATGAGAGCAGATGGATTGCGCTTGTTAAATAAAAAGTTGGAAATTAATTTTGTAATAATGGATGTCTGTTTATTTTGTTTCTATTATTTCCAATACTTTATTTTTGATTTTGCTGTCGATTAGTTCGTGGTGTTGTAAACAATTAAAAGTTAACTAGGTTCTAGATATGTATGTAGGTACCTAATATTTTTTTGTGTAAACTCCCGGAACAACAAGTTATGAGTGCTTTGCCGGCCTTTTTGGGGATTACGGTTACGGAGATTTAGGGACTGGGGTAGGGTGGTGGGAGCGGAAGGATTGGGCCTTCAGTAACCTCACTCATTTAGCGAAACACAACGCTATGGTTATTTAACACCGATTTTTTGTGAGGTCGAGCTGACCCATTCGTCGAAGCTTGGCTCTCTTACTTTTTCATACTTAATCGTAATAGTACATATCTACATAGTGTACTTTAGACTAACCATATGAATGTAAGTAGGTCAAACCTTTAAGAAACGTGCGTATTATTTTCTCAAAGGCCGGCAACGCGCCTGTGTCTCCTCTGGTGTTGCAGGTGTCCATTGGCGGCGCCTATCACTTACCATCAGGTGATCCGTATGCTCGTTTGCCTGCTACTTATTCCATAAAAAAAATCATTAATACAGAAATGAAAAACGATTCACTATCTATAGGTATACATACACCCTATGTATACATAGGTACTGAACACGGTACTGAATTACACAAAAACAAACATAAAACCTTTAAACTTTGACGCATAAAATCGACGCCATAATAAATATATTTTCTGCATACAAAGATTCACCACATGTCTGTTTTCACGCGCTCAACGTTGTTATAACAAGATATATCTCATTACTTTAATAACTTAATCCTGTGCAGGAAATAGAGCTCATTTTGCTTCGTCGTTGATAAGCAGCGGCAAAACGTTTAATTAAATCCAGTGATGCCACAGACAATGTTTATTAAATGCAGTAAGTCAAAGGCAGAAAAGTTGCCGGTCTTTCTAGTGGTGATATTAGATTACTCAGATACCTATCTAAGTATATCTCTTCTAATATCACCCCTAATTATACTAGGTAAGACCTACTTATTAAGAGATTTTTTTCGAAGTACCTAGTGTGATTTTTTTGCATTTGATATTTATTATTCTTTCTTTTCGTCTTTTCAGCTTCATCTCTTATGCCCGGTTTCTGAGGTACAGTTAACGGCAGTTTATCGATTCGATAGCGCTATTGGTTCGATAACTCTTACAACTACGTTTCTGAGCATTGCATTGTTAGATAAACTCCGTTTAAACTGAAGCTATCTTAACTCGCCATTTGGTGCCGTTTATCAGTTCCATAACTTTATTTGACGTTTCGAATGTCAAACTATACAATTTTTGTGGTAAATTTCAAAATTATTTCAATAAGTAAAAGTTGCTTTAGTTGCTAATTAGGGAAGAGCAATAAATAGGAGCATATTAAATACAAGCAGTTCATCTGAGTCCGATATAGAAGTACTAGAGTTTATTTCTTGTATTTCTGTACCCAGAAACTTAAGACAAAGGAGAAATCCTTTAGAAATGTTTACTGATGAAGAGTTTACTTTAAGATATCGTTTTCGTTTTCCAAAGCAGCCAACAACAATGTCTGTTTGACTTTTCTTTTTTTTCTAATTGACACTGGACGGTGTTCAATACAGCCAATGCTAAATAACAAATTATCATTATATTTTAAATGAAACAGTTTTTGATAACATAAAACTTTGAAAAAAAAAATTTACCTAATAAACATGTAATAAAGCTGAAATAGAATAAATAAAATCAAAATTTTAGTTATTATCCTTAAAAGACCCATCTATTGGCAAATTAAGGAACTTACTATCCTTTACATAGTTATTGAAAGGCTCGTTGCGTATTCAGAAACGCAGTGACAGTTAACCGACGTTTATCTTATTGATAACTTTATTGAACCAACAACTATTTTAAACATAACCGACGCCTTCAGAAACCGGGCATTAGTTAGTCTAACAACCAATTTAACGTATCATCATTATAAAAACACTTCATGTAGGTATCAACATTTCATTAACAACTAACATTCAATGATAAAAATAAATGTAGATACTATGTCTTTCCTACAGAATGACAATAACTTTACAAGATTTTTTTCACACAGAAACTTCACTGTTTGTTTTACTATCTCCGTAAATAATACTCGGTTTTATTCGATACGAGTTTTTGTGGTAACGCCATGACAGTTTTATGCCTGAGCCGGGAGTAGGGAAGCCAGACTCATGAATCGATGCTAACACGATTAGGGGAAACGGACACCATTAGGACCCCAGAGCATTTTCAAATGGGGAACATTCGAAATACGAAAAGTGCAAAAAAAAAATGCAATGATTTTCTTTTTCATTGAAATATCTAAGGAGTTTTTGGGTAAGGGAGACCTCTTTGCAAGCAAAGTTTATTGCGGTTTTGTGAGTAATAGGAGTATTAAGTAGGTTGTATTACGGTTGGGGGAAGTAAAGACCGCTTGACGAGGGTCAAATAATAACTATTTTGCGTAGGTATTTATAATATGTCAAGAAAGTAGATTAGATAATATCTATTGTAAAATTTTTGTATCCTTCCTTATAACAATGTAAGATATTATACTTTAGAAAAGAAACTACATATTTAAATAATTTTATATTTAGTTAAATACACCTAGTAGAATTTAAGTAACATTCGGTTACACCTTGTATAAAAAATATTTAGTTAACACGCAATTGACAAAATATAATCTATATTGAATAAAATAGCTAAATTTAGTCAGTATCATGTTCATGGACTAACAGTTAATATTTATTTAAAAGGGACCGAGGTCCCGGGAGGCCAGTGCTTTGATCATCAATTTATAGAAGAGCCCAGTCGGGAGGGAGCGTGCTCTGTACAGCTTTAGTAATTTGATTACAATTGATTATATTAGGATTATTTGACATGAATGTTATTTTCATTCATGTAAAATAATCATCATTTGACCTGATTCTTCAGTTACGTCAGGGAATATTTTGCTAATTAATCCGTAATGTTTTATTTATAATTATTTGAACCTAAGGTCATTTTTTGCATATAACCTAAACCTATGCGTTTGTTAGCTCCGATAGATATAGGGATACTTACTTATAATAATATTCTTCAAAACATGGAATTAGGTTCAGGCAGTGATTTGATTTTCGTGCTATATAGCATAATAAGTATGACTCTTTATCTTTCATAATATACCTACTTTTTAAATTTTCTTATGTATGACCTCTCTTTCAATTAATTTCGTGACTTCACCTCAAATTATCAGCAGTAATAATGCTCAGCAAAATATGAGGAAAAATTTACTAATTCAATTATAAATCCTAGACTTGCTAAGCTGACTCAGTGCATATTTGGATACCAAGAAGTTCGTCTATTGATTAAATTCATTAGGCTGAACGCTGCTAGCGACATCTATTGCAATCAATAAGAACTAGATGCCCACGTAAGTCCGCAGCGAAAGCATTTGTTTCACTTTAACTTGTTTTAGCTATGGTTATGATGATTTCAAGGTTTTGACGGAAAATTATCAAATTGATGATATCATAGTTTAGCACTAAATAGTAGTAAACAGTCGCACGCAAGTGATAATGCTTTTAAATGCTATTAAGGCCGTTGATTGGCTATAAAATAGTCGCCAAATTAT